CACTTTTTCATTCTATTTGTGTGTGGGTTGTGATACTGCTCGGGTGCCCAGACCGAAGTAAGTGGTTTTCTTGGGGAGTCACACTCGGAACCCTCGATCTAAACGTTTGACCCACAAGACATTGGAGCAACATAGGGAGATGCAGTCCCTTGGTATTCGGTGACCAACAATTGGTTCATACGCCATTTGTTCCTTCAGGATACTGGAGCCATGTGCACCACTGGTTTAAAATCAGGGTTTTCCAACTCTCCTAGGTAGGTCCTCCATATACACCAACCCGGTTAACGCACTGGTCATTCGCTTTTCGTCCTCTCAATTTTGCAAACAACACCCCCGTCACGAGAAGGTAGTGAAAAGGACTTCCCTGACAGAGGCTGTATACGCGTGGCCGTGTGATAGCATTTCGAGAGAGAGTGAGGGCCCTCCCTACTCCCGGCCATACCAGGACATTTGGGAGCATATATATCTGGTGCCCCCTTGCACCAATATTTATGTGTTTAAATTTAAAAAAATATATCACTAAGTAACACCGTAGATTTAAAAAAACGCTGATATATTGAATAACCAATTAGAAAATGAAGGTAGAATTTATCAGTGATAACTTTTAAAAAGTTTCATAGTTTCAGTTTTGCAATAATTTTTTTATTTTGAACTTAAACATTATGAATATTTTTTTATGCTTAACTGATTTTTAATCTCATAGTTACTAATTTAAAAAATGTATTATACATTCTAAATCTATTTTAAGCTGATTTGTGTTTAGAGGATAAAGTATTTTATAAAAGACTTAAGCATGTCTTATAATTCTTATCTGTTTATGCAACTGACATTCTTCGGACTATATAACAGTATAAGAGATGGTATTTTTAATAGTTGAGATCATGAATCAATTGAAGCTACACCATCATGGAAAATCTGAAAGCAATGGACGGCCGTTTTGTCCTATTGTGCAACTTTACAGCAGTGTGCGTCCACGATCTCACAAGATGGGATGCACAATGCTGAGAAATCCGACAATAGGACAAAACGACCGTCCAGTGCTTCCAGGTTTTCCATGGTGGTATAGCTTCAATTGACTCATGAACTCAACTATTAAGATTACTATAATATCCACAAACCCCCTTCTGATACTAAAATATTTTTGTTTAGAAAGCAAACAAAAAGCAACTTTCTTAAAATGTATAATTCACAAAAAGATAATTGAAAGTTGTCTATTATATATAGATTTGTTTTACAACTAAAATATTAGCAGAAATGATCAATTATGTAGCAATCTCTTCATTCTGAAACTAACATCAAATGGAGAAGTGTTGGAAAATTTAAGGGAGGGATTGTAATTGTCAGATGATACATGAAAAATTTCGATAGTGTAATAAGAAGACGAAAATTATCAGAACTATGTGGTATATTAGTGCAATACGTAGAGTCGACCGTTCGATTACTGACCAATCAGTATATTCGGAATCGCCAAACAAAAAGTATTCAATTGTTAGAAAAATAATATCCTAACATCAATAGTTCACCCTAAATGAAATCAGTCTGTGATGAAACATCGTACTTACACCATACACTTAATTCAATCAGTTATAATCAATATTGGGCTTGACACAAATGTACATTACCACAAGTTCTAATACCAAATTAATATAATGAAATAAAATTAACAAAATGAATAAGAAAGCAGTCCGAATAATAGTAATATTAATGATTAAAATTGGATAATACACTTCAAAAAAAAAGAAATGAGACGATACGCATAACGTAATATTGAAACTCAAGATCTATAAGACGATTAAGAATATCAATGTGACCGATTCTAGGTCATGTTTAATTACTGACAATCATTTTCTTGAACATTAAGTCAGATAGTTTTCAGTTGCTAACATGGATAATTCCAATAGTTAATAACTTCTTACACTGATATCATAACTGTAATTACGTCCATGTTCAATCTAACAAACTAAAATTCTCAGTATAAGATTGCAGAAATTGTTGAGTTTTTAATTTGGATCATGAACTGATCAATGTTAGACCACAATGTCTATTGTGAGGCAGTTACTCGCTGAACACAATGGTGGTCGGCTGCACAATATCGTAGATTAATTTAAGTTAGACATTAACATCGTTGGATGCCGGCTCAGTGGTGTAGAAATTAAACGTTCGCGCGCGAAATCAAAGATACTGAGTTTGAGTGAAGCGTGAGGGATCGTAAATTAGCACTACTGAGGTGTCCCATACTAGGATGAAACGACCACCTAGTGTTTCTAGATTTTCAATGGTGGTCCAACATTCATCAGTTCATGATCTCAATTAAAAACTGAAATTCATATTACTTACACTACTATTTCTTTTTATTGAAATAGACACCTAAAAACTACTTACGTAGGTAGCATATAAATAAGATTTATAAAATGTATTCATACTCATATATACATATGTATATGTATATGTATAGAGATTATGAAAGATTAATTGACAGATTCAAAACCATAAAAAATCAGCGTAACATATTTTTTTCCAAAAAAAGAATTCATAATAATTATCTTCATTTGAATAAAAACAGTGTTGTATTCGATTTTGGTTATGTCATGCCACATGTCAAATTTTTTTAAATATATAATCTATTTTTCTACGCAAATACTATTTTTAAGAATATCCGAAAATAGTAATTACGCATGTATTAGGTTAATTGTGATTTCTTCTTTTTTTTGCTTACTTATTCTATTTAAATGTTCTCCAACATCAGTGACAAGTACGCACATACCCACATGAATACTCACAGCTCTGATGAATCATACCTGTATGGTTATAATGAAGAGAGAAATATAAAAAAACCCATCGTTTGCAAATATCTATTAGCGAACATCTTAACTACTGTAGTGAACGAGAATATAAATGGGGATAATCGAATGCATTTTAATACATTATAGAATATCATAGTAAAATCTGTAAACCATACAATAAATACTTCATTTGCAAAGTGTTCATTAATTGTCTCAGATTTCGGTATCCCTTCATTTTCACATCAATTGCTTCCCGTCCCCGTTTTTTTTCCTCCTTGATCTTCTACTGCCAGACATTCTATTCCTGACTAGCGCAAAATACTACTTATGTCGATATAAGTAGCACACACTACTGTTGATGGCATTACTTTAATTTTTTTAAATTTAAGAATGAGTTTGTTCATGACAAATTAATGTGAAGTGAAAACAGTTAGGGAAAAAAGTGGACAAATGTTGTTATGTTAAAATTTTCAACTTCAAAAGACTTGAATATTTAACATTCTATATCAGTCATAAACACTATAGAACCTGTTTCGGTTGAAGTTGCCACACTATATGAATTATCAAAATAAATGTCACAATAGTGGAAATATTAAGAGTAACAATGGTGACAGAAAAGATAAGACATAAACAGTAAGATTTAAGAATGAGAAATTAAAAACTAAAGTAATTTTAGAGCTTGAAATCTAAGAGAAGATAGAGAGTGAATTTGTACCATTTCACCTAACATTTTCAACCATTAGACCAGATAGTCTAGTGGACCACAAATAGGGAATCTGTACCTACTAACACAAATCACAAACTGATACCCTGTCGTGGTTTTGGTGTCCCTAGATTTCTTCCAGTCTACTCTGACATCAGTAAACGTCGCACGTCGAAGTAAACCATGGTTAGGCATAAGTAATACAACATTCATGCTACCTCACTTGATGGAGTTTAACAAACTCAACCGATTTTTTATTTTCCCTAGTACCCTGAATTCGGCCTACATAGAAGAAAGGCATGATTGTTAACGAAATTTTCAAGGAAAATACCTTGCAAATATCACTTAACCTATTCACATTTCCAACTTTAGTTAATTCTAAACAACTTGTTCAATGTTAACAATAATATTGTAGTCCGACTGGTATTCTTAAAACTCCAATGGAAAGCTAGTGACTAGTAAATATCTAAGGTTTTTTTCAGTTGCACACAAATAAATTATTCTGGTAAAAAAGAGGGCAGTTCTAAATACCGAAACCGATTCATAAGGAACTTAGTATTGTGATGATATTAAGATGATAAAGAAGCTGGTGAAGACCGTGGTGTAAATGAGTAGTATGTAGATTGCCTGTTAGTTGATCTTTCATTCTTTATGCCAGATTTACAAAAAAGAAATATCATATAACTAGATCTCTCGAAAAATATTGATTTATTGTAACAAAAAAGACATTCTAAACTCTGAAGTTATTGTGCAATCACAAGTGTTCATACAGTGACATTTTGGTTATGAATGCTGTCCATCAAGTTACAATGTGGTTACTAGTCTCAGTAGCTCGATATTGTATGCACTATGTTGAGCTCTAAGATCATAGGCACGCCTTCCTGAAAAGTGCTAAATAGCATTAAACTTTGCTCCAAGTTTTCTAATCGACCACCTTACATTTTAAGATAGAATATTCTAGATTAGAAAGGTTCATGAAGAATGTAGTGTAAAACAAAAAGAAAATTGAGGTTATTTTCTTTTTTTACCTAGATACTAATGAACGACATAATCTCTAGGATCTCAACTAAGGGAGTTCTTACGGACCAATCTAATACTGATCGCATAAAACTGTTTCGTTCCATACAGTGAACAACTACTTACTTTTTATACCTATTAGTATTGGCGAATAATGCAGAGTGAAGAAATCTATGAGACGGTGTGTTCGTAAGTCATTTTCATCCGAGAAAAAAACGATGGTAATGATGATGGAACTAAGTGACCAATCAATCAACATTATTTAAAGGGATATAAAACCAAAAAAGGATAAATCAATCCAATAACAATAATATCATCACCATCATTATCTTACATGGTATATGAAATGAATCTATTATTGATGGCCCAGAACGATAAAATATGTAATCTAATCTTTCACCATTCCCATATGTATTAGTCCAAAGTTGATTACGATAAGGATTATCAGCTCGATCACACGTACATCCCTCTGACTCTAATTCTGTAATATTTGTATTCTTCAAAGCAACAGTCTATATATATGCACATATTTTTTATTTTATGGAGAAAAGAATGGAAAACATAAGAAAAATCAGTAATTTTAATTTTTCGGAAAAAAACATAGTTACTATTATTTTTTTAAATGGCACATCAGTCAGACTGGCTCGTCTGTGGTTATTATATGAGGACTTCAGACTCAGAAGACCTGTCAGATAGAATTATATCTAGTTTCAAGATCCTAGTTAATGTCGCAGTCAGTCTAACAACTTAAACCAGAAGCTTTGAAGTTAATCTACCTGATCCTTTCCAAATTCGTTGAGTCGATAGGCTTAACTCAATTTCTCATTCAGATTGTTTGAAAAGTGGTTAATCACATAGTAGTTGAAGTTAGCTGAGCTGTTTTTCGGAAAGTTTCACCCATCGTCCCAATTTTCCAGCCTGACAGTGGACCAAAATATATGCTTCTACTGAGATCGTTGCACTAACAACTAACTCTATAACACCTGTGTCCTGATATATCTGATCAGTTACCAACTATTATCTATCCAATCAGCCTGTCCCACTTCTTTTGTTTTTGTCACCAACAACTCCTCAAAATCATATCACTGCTGTTTTCATAGCTGTTTTGATATTTTACCAAGCTTAACATTATTGTAGACCGAACGTCTCTCTATTTGTTTTTGAAATACACTCTTGATCTTCACATAATCAAGCTGAACACTAGAGTCTTTCTGTAAAACGCATGCCCACACCACAACACGATCCGAGTCTAAATATAAGCTCCAGAACAAGCAGAGTTCCCCTACCGAGCCCATCAAGCGATAGTTGATGTACATATGGTTTATTCATGTCAATTCTATGGTTAATCATATTAAATATTTTTCTTTATTCTTGACAATGATTTTGTTAGAAACAAATTATTACCTGAGAATAGTTTCAACATTCCCTTCTTTTTATCTGTTCAGTGATCTGGGACACTGAAAGGCACATCTAATTATTTTCTAGCTTCATTTACCATAACCAATTGACCATCATAATAATCTCCTACGGTTACTGTCTGAGGATTTAACTTTTTTAAAACGGGTGTAAAGCTTCATATAAATTTCATGTCTTACTTCTGTCAAAAGGGAGTGAGTGAGAGGGTGTACTGAGATGAAGGTTAACGATGTGTATCTTAATCTGTTCAAGTTTTTAAAGGTTCTGTTGTTCTGAAAAGCACACAAGCGACTGTCTAATGAAATATATTCCAGAAGCGACTGTTGTACTATGGGGTTTAGTACTGCATTTACGTTAACCTGAGCACGATAAGTAGGGATGACGTCTCCAGATGTACGAAGGGTAAGTCGTCTTCGTCCATAATTGATTATATATATATATATATATATATATATATATATATATATATATATATATATATATATATATATATATATATATATATATATATATATATATATATATAACTAGTAAACTACTAAGCTGTAACATTCACTAACACATATAGTGACATATACAGTTGACAAATAACCAACAGTGAATAATGTAGCTAATTTGCCAAGTAAGTCTTTCTTTCTCATCAGTACATTTGTAGAAACTATTTATGCCACTCAACTGCCTAAAATGAAATATAGTAAGATTTGAATCTATCAATAAAATATCAAATGGTTTTAACCTTTTAAACTATTGTTTCATTAAAATATAATCAACAATATACATAACAAGAAAAACTTCCCACATTTTAAAAACTGTCATTATTAGCATAAAATAGTATATAATAATGTACAGACCATAATAAATAGAAATTATTATACTACTTCTAATGGATATTCAATATAATAATATGATCAGCTGATAATAGATCAATAGTAATTCTTTTTTCAAATATCATATTTATCACACGAGTTAACCACATGAATATTCTAAAATAACTACTCCCATTACATGATACTATGATAATGATGATATCTGATTACATCTTGTTTTTTATGAACTAAAATTATATAAGATTATATAGAAACATGAAAATGTGTACATTTAATCGTAATTTTCACTTAGAAAGATCTTCCATACACGTATCCCTATATATATATGAAAATGTGGGCCCCGCTTATTCTCCGACAATTTAAGATGTGGTTGATTGGGAAATAGTTTCCAATGCAAATTCGTAGAAGACTAGCGACAGTCAAAGAACTACATAATTGGACGCATTTTAAACAATATTTCCTTTTTCTCATACGTAAGTTTTAGATAAAAATTATCAACTTGTGAAAAAAAAGTTAATATATCAGTGAAGATGAGTCTTGAAGATAATAACTTCATTAATAATCTCAAATTGAGTTAAGCTTAAAATGATACTTACCATTGGCTAAGTTATAAAGTTATTATTAAATGTATGATCACATGTTTAATGATCCAGACAGTATCAAAATTTCGCATTGGTGAAGGGTTTCAACTATGATTAGGATATTGAAAATTCATCGGTTGATTTTAGCCGATAAAGAAAATGCTTTAAAAGCACTTCTTTTATATTAAAACATAACCAGAGAGTACTGGGTCAGTCAGTCAGCTACAACGTAGAACCATGCACTTATGTGCATCGGTCCAGGTTGCCATACCGCATCAGCACAACAAGATGAACACCGGATTCATAACAGTGGTTAGGTAAAAGGTGGTAATATATAAGAGAAAGATTGCATATAGAGATATAGTACAAGAAGAAAGAATTGGTTAGTAGAAAGAAAGATATGAAGCGCTTTTAATCTCTTAGTTTAAGGGAAGAAACCGAGTGTATACACCGACGCCATTGTGATCGATTCTGAGCCATGTCACCAAGAGTCTCCAACCATTGGTTACGATAGTCACGCGGACCCCAACCAAGTAGTCTGCATCTACCAACATGGCTCAGACTAGAAGTTAGTGACTTCAAGCACTGATGCCACGTTTTGGTTTGGCCGCCCCTAACTTTCTTCCAACCAGGTAGCTGTTTTGTGCTAGCATGAAACTCCTCAGAAGTGAACATCGGTGACCCCAACACGGTTCGAACCCGGGCCCTTCAGGTCTTGCAGTGAATGTATAATGGACTATATTCAGAGCAGCAATTATAAAGTAATTTAAACAGTTAAATTTCAACTAGGTTACTGATTTGAACCCTGCTAAACGCATACCAGTCTAGACATCCAAGTAGTACCACTAGTTCTCAAATAAAAAAATATAGCCTAATATAATGGCTTAATACACGAAACTGCAATCGACTATCAAGTTTAAGAAAAAAATTATAGTAATTACTTAATAACTACTGTAATGAGAAAGCATTTCATACTATAGTGATAGACAACCGTAGAATACATTATAACAATAGAACGTTCTGAGCTATCACGTTTATAAAACAATACGAAAAGACAAGGAAATGGAAAAATGAAAATAAATATGGGGCAAATCAGTAACAGAATAACAAAATGATTGAAAATTAATCATTTAAGTCATACTATTTTTATAACAGATAGTGATATTAAAAGGCTGTTCCAGCCAAATTAGATATGGAGCGTTAGAGCTTATAACTTACAGTTTGAAAACTATCTTAACTAATAATCCGTTGCTTAATAGTGAATGAATCTAAATCATAATGGTTCAGTCAGTCTGCTACAACGTAGGACCAGGAACATATATGCATCGGTTCAAGTTCCTATACCTAATTAGCACACCAAAACGAACACAAAAGTCATAAAAGTAGTTAATTCAGTGGTGGTAAGATATAAAACAAAGATTGCATATAAGGACATAGTCCGGGAAGACAGAATTAGTTCGTAGGGAGAAAGATATGAAGCGATTTTAATCTCATACTTTAAAGAAAGACAAAGAGTGTATACACCAACGCCATTGTGATCGATTCTGAGCCATGTCACCCAGAATCTCCAACCATTGTTTACGATAGTCACATGGACCCTGACCAAATAGTCTGGATCTACCTACATGGCTACGGCTAGAAGTTAGTGACTTCAAAAACTGATGCCACGTTTTGGTTTGGCAGCCCCCAACTTTCTTCCAAATATCCCAAACACTAATCAGGATTGCGTGTCGTGGTAATCGGTGTTCAGGCATATGTAACACGTGGCCCAACCATCTCGGTCGATGAAGATTAACAACCTCATCAACTGCTTACGAGTATCTTCTACGCTTAATGCCCACGTCACGCAGCCGTAAAGTAGAATAGAACAAACTGCTGCACAGTATACTCGTCCCTTAATTGATAGGCGGATATCTCGCCTTCACAATAGGTCACGTAAGTTTGCAATAGCCAAACGAACTTTTCGAATCCGTGTTGAGATTTCATCGGACGCCAAAACTTCCAAAATTAGTGAAGTTGTCTACGCAGCATACATAAATATTACCACTTTCTAGAGTCTCAGCCAAGTAGGTCTGCTGACCGATTTGACATAGGGCGCATACGTTGAAGGCTCTAATGTGCAGTTTGGAACGAGGTTTCAGTAGACCTGAGACAGTGTTTTGAGCACTAGAATCGTTGGCCATGGTGACAGTTGGGGAGGAAGCCGAGAGCGGAAGCTTAGTGTTTAAGGTCGATGTAGAAGGAAAAATAGTAATGGAGAAAAGAGGTTGATTATGAATACAGTGGTCTTAAGTGCTGTTAGAGGTATGTGCGCGGTTATCACTTCCCGGTTACCCACACTGTGGAAGGGCTCTTCTGGAGGTACCTGAAAGGGAAATTGGATTAGAAGTGGTCTTAGTGACCTGAGAGCGTGACCGTAGTACCTAAGGGACAACTGCTTGAGGTCGGTCACAAACGACCTTTTTGTAAGTAATTTTCGTGTTAGCTCCGTACTTGTTGAGACCTTACTGCCGGAGACGGATATCCGTGGGATAAGGTAAGGTGTGCATTTTTAGGGTCGACCTTTTGTAACCCCACCCCTCCTTGTGGGAAGGCAACGTCACTGTTATGCTGGTTGTCTGAAGGAAACACCTTACTGCCGTTACATCTCTGTACAGTCAGCAATAAGACTTCGCCTTCGGACCTTGG